TCTGGCCCATAAACAAATAGATAATTAGTAAAAGAGAAAGAGAGGCAAAAATAACTGGACCCAGAAATAAAATACATATGGTTTGAAAGACTACACGAGACTCTTACACATACTGAATATGTAAAAGGTCATAAAAGAAATCTCAATGGTTTTAAAAGGAAAATGATGTGTGATATTATCTATAACCATCTGATCTTTGACAAACCTGATGCAAGCAAGCAATGGGGAAAGGATTCCCTATTTAATAAATGGTGCTGGGAAAACTGGCTAGCCATATGCAGAAAACTGAAACTGGACCTCTTCCTTACACTTTATACAAAAATTAACTCAAGATGGATTAAAGACTTAAACGTAAAACCGAAAATCATAAAAATCCTAGAAGAAAACATTGGTGATACCATTCAGGACACAGGCATGGGCAAAGACTTCATGTCTAAAACACCAAAAGCAATGGCAACAAAAGCCAAAATTGACAAATGGGATCTAATCAAAATAAAGAGCTTCCACATAGCAAATGAAACTGTCATCAGAGTGAACAGGCAACTGACAGAATGGAAGAAAATTTTTACAATCTATCCATCTGACAAAGAGCTAATATGCAAAATCTACAAAGAACTTAAACAAATTTACCAGAAAAAAACAAACAATCCCATCAAAAAGTGGGCAAAGTATATGAACAAACACTTCTCAAAAGAAGACATTTATGGAGCCAATAAACATATGAAAAAAAGCTCATCATCACTGGTCATTAGAGAAATGCAAATCAAAACCACAATGAGATACCATCTCATGCCAGTTAGAATGGTTAACATCATTAAAAAGTCAGGAAACAACAGATGCTGGAGAGGATGTGGAGCAACAGGAACGCTTTTACACTATTGGTGGAAGTGTAAATTAGTTCAACCATTGTGGAAGACAGTGTGGCAATTCCTCAAGGATCTAGAACCAGAAATACCCAATATCAATTTGGTATTTGACCCAGCAATCCCATTACTGGGTATATACCCAAAGGATTATAAATCATTCTACAATAAAGACACATGCACACATATGTTTATTGCAGCACTATTCACAAGAGCGAAGACTTGGAACCAACTTAAATGTCCATCAGTGATAGACTGGATAAAGAAAATGTGGCACATATACACCATGGAATACTATGCAGCCATAAAAAGGGATGAGTTCATGTCCTTCGCAGGGACATGGGTGAAGCTGGAAACTATCATTCTCAGCAAACTATCACAAGCACAGAAAACCAAACACCGCATGTTCTCACTCATAAGTGGGAGTTGAACAATGAGAAAATATGGACACAGGGAGGGTAACATCACACCCCGGGGCCTGTTGGGGGTTGAGGGGCAAAAGGAGGGATAGCATTAGGAGAAATACCTAATGAAGGTGATGGGTTGATGGGTGCAGTAAACCACCATGGCATGTGTATACCTATGTAACAAAACTGCATGTTCTGCACATGTACCCCAGAACTTAAAGTATAATGATAATAAAAAAAGAAATGCTGAAAAAATCAAAAATAAATAAAAGGAAAATGAGTATCATATCGATCACATTATCTTACTAAAATACAATTAAATTAGAAATCAGCAATAAGAAAATTTAAAGAAAGAGACCTGAAGAGTTTTAAACTCAATCACAATGCACTACAGAAAAAAAATAAAATTCTGCGTGTCGATACTTGTGAGTTACAGTTCCTGAAAATATTTGTTTCTGCTTAGAATGTAGAATATTTCAAAAGACGATCGCTTCTACTCAACAATATAAACAAACTGGATAAGCTACAAAAATCAGAGTTGTTTTAAACTTTTCAGATTGCTGAAGATTCACACACAATAAAAATAACCTAAACAAAATAAGTTCCAGAAAGACAGCCCTGGCTAGGAGAGAAGAGACCTATAGCTGTTATCATCCTAAAGGGTCAGCAGAAAGAAGAGGAATCTCCCTTCGATGGGGATCAAAAGAAACCAGATGAGCTTTTAACAGATTTTTAATAGTCACTCATGTGCTAGTGTGATCGATTGGAATAAACAGGAGGTCAACCAAGCCCAGGAATGAGTCTTCACCCACTGACCTTCACTGAGTGCCGGGGGTAGAGATGAAGAATGGAGCCAGACAGGACTGCCAAGAGAGATCCCTCTGAGGCACGCTGGACCTTCTCCCAGTACAAGGAGGTAGCTCCTGAAGGCTGAGGTGGAACAGAAACACTGCTAGAGCTCTCTCAAGGTACATTGAGCCCTCTCAAAATGCATGGCAACCCACAGAGTGTGTGCAGGGCAGGAGAACTGAAAAAATTCTGCTCAAACAGAAGCAGTTTCTCTGAGTATAAGGCAGCAGCTGCTACCAGCTGGGGGTAGAGCAAGAAAGTAGAGGGAGTCACCCCATGCCATCGCAGGCCTTCTACAAGTGCACTTCAGGAATACTCTAAAGGCTGGGGGCAAGGAAGTATAGGAGAGAGAGAGAAATCTCCAGAGGCATAGACAGTTGAAAGAAGGACTGGAGAGGAGGGATTACTCCCTAACAACCCAGGAAACTGGTAGACAACATAGAGGGCAAAGAAATGTTCACAGCTCAGCAAGCCGGAACCTGGACTGTATAACGAAGACATTTCCAGAGTTTCGCAGGTACTCAGATCCCAAGTCTTTCTGAAGGAGAAGCACTGTCCTCACCTTCAAACTATTTAAAGACAGTGGTAAACAACTAAATTAAAACTGTAACGAAGCCCAGAACCAGCTGAATTGTAGATAGGATTAGTTCAGCCCCTACACCAGTGGCCTGGCAGAAGGATTGCACCTTATTCTAGAAGTAAATATTATTTACTTCTGTCTCTCCTGATTTTGCCTACAATCTGGCATAAAATCAAAAGAAATGAGATATACATGGAAGTAAGAAAACGTAAACCCTAGTTTAAAAGACAAAAGTCAATAGATAAAAACTCAAATATAGCACAGATATTAGAATTATAAGACTGAGGCTTTAAAATTGGTGTAATAAATATGTGTACAACATACTGGGGTTTTAGCAGCAATATCAAAATCATCTTTTAAAAGACAAAAAAAAAAGAGTTACTAGGAGCAAAATACATTAAAAATGAAGAACCCATCAAATGTACTTATTAACACATTGGATACAGTAGAAAAAAAGGATAATAGAATTTGAATACAGTCAATAGAATTATCAACACTGAAACTCAAACAGAAAATTGAGTTTAAAAAACTGAAAAACGCATCCAAGGTCTCTAGAACAGTATCAAATGGTCTTATATATCTGTAATTAGCATTCCAGAAGGAAAAGAAATGAGACAGAAGAAAATGCTCAAAGAGTTAATTGCCAAAAATGTCCCAAAATGTATTGACAATATCAATGCTTGAATTCAAGAAGCTCTGAAAACTCCAAGCAGAATGAACACAAAGAAAACCGCATTTAAGCACATCACACTCAAATTGCTGAAAACCATAAAGAAAAAAAATCTTAAAAGCAGTCAAATGGAAAACAAGTCAGATTATGTAGAGATTTTTTTAATGACTAAAAATACAGCTGACTTCTCATTAGATACAATGGATGCTAGAAGTTAAGATATGACATTTTTAACATGCTGAAAAGGAAAAAAAAAACCTTTCACATTAGAATCTTCTATTTAGTGATTTTATTCTTTAAAAATGAAAGTAAAATAAAGACACTTTCTGGCTGATAAAAGCATAGTTTTCCTTCAGTAAACATTATAAAAAATGCTAAAATAAGTAAATTGTGTTATAATTATCAGAGATCCTTAGAACATTTGGGAAGAAAGTAAAATCATGAATTAATAATAGCCTTTGATAAGCTAAGAATTTACATTATGACATAAAGTGTAATCACTAAGACTAGAATGAAAAAACACTGATTTCAAAAGAAAGGAAAAAGGAAGATAAAGGACAAGAACAAACTAAACAAAGCAGTAGAGTGGTATATTTAAATTCTAACATATCAGTAATCATTTGACATATAAAGCAACTTAATAATCCAAGTAAAAGATAAAATGAAAGAGTAGATAACAAAGAACAAAACTCTAATACATATGGTTTGAGATAGATTTGTCTAAAACAAGAAAAGTTGAAAATAAAGGATGAAAATATATATTCCATGCCCAAGCTAACAACAAGAAGTTTGGAAAATCTGTATTATCAGACAAATTAGACTTTAATAAGTATTACTAGAGATGAAAGGCGATGCTACACAGTAACAAAACATTCAAATACTTTCTGCATTCACCCCAAATTGAAACTACTTACTGAATTGCTTTGAAATCCATTTACAGCTTGGAGCTCTCCCAAGGACAGCCTTCCCCATTTCAAAAACTTGAACAAAAGTTCCACAATAACATCAAATATCCACTTAGTGTTCATATTTCTCTAAATACTCAAAATTATTTTTAAACATTGGCTTATTTTGATAGGAACCAAAGTTCATAATTCGGCTGATTGTGATATCTCTAAACTGCCTTCAATATATTGCTTCTTTTTCTCTTTACTTTTCCACTTTCATTTTATTTATTAAGGATATAAGGCTGTTTGTTCTATAGAAATCCCTCATTCTAGATATTGCTGATTGCCATGGTGCCGTATAACACATTCCTCTGTCCTGTATTTCCTGTAAACCTTTGATTAAATTTGATTTAATTTGAAAGCTTATATGAATCAGGTTAAAATTTTTGGCAAGAATATTTCATACTAAGAACACATGCACACAGGGGAATCAACTCATACTGGGGCCTGTCAGAGGGCAGGGGTTTGGGGAGAGAAAGGATCAGGAAGAATAGCTAATGGGTGCTGGGCTTAATACCTGGGTGATGGGATGATCTCTGCAGCAAACCACCATGGCACACGTTTACCTATGGAACACACCTGCACATCCTGCACATGTACTCCACAACTTAAAACAGAAGTTGGAAATAAAATAAAAAAGAATCTTTCATAGATGATTATACCAATTATACCAGGAAAACCACATTATATTACCTGGTTGGTCTCTTTGTGATAGCATCAGGGCTGATGATCTTTGTCAAGGTCCATTACTTCATTAGAAGGCTGTAAAATGGTGATATTTTAATTAAATTTGATATTAATTTTGTCCCAATTGCACAAATAAATTGCCTGTCTATGGGGTACTGATCAGAATACATCAAAGTATTATGTTCCTAAAAGGAATACTCTATATCCCCTTCCTCAGTTAACTTGAGCGTTTAGTGTGTTACTGGAGGGTCCCCTAAATCCTGAAGACACGGCAAAGAACAAGAGTCTAAGGTTCTTGCTATCGTGATCATGGCACTCTAACAAGGAAAAAAGACAATAAATCAGAAAATAAATAAACAAGGTAATTTCTGATTATTTTAAGCAGAGTGAGAAAAATTGACTAGGTTAAGTGAGAGTGACCAGCACAAGAGTGATCTTTAAGAAAAGTGATCCTGTCTTCCCTACTATCTTCTCTGACAATGTACTAATCTCCAAAAGACTATATGTAAGACTGTGGGTACAGAATGGAAAATATGGTCTTGGGACAGAAAGAAGCCATATAAAAATTAAGTGATCAGTTCGGTTACAGAATAAAAAAAAAGGAAGAAGGAGTTTCTTAATACCTTATCTCTTAAATTTTTCCTGATATTTATTATCAGAGCATTTTTTAAGAATAGTGACTTTCTAATTCATCTTTTTGAAACTCCTGAATCCATCCTGATTTTAAAATATTGAAATGTACAGAAGTGATGGTTTGGACAATTACAAGCTCCCCATCTGGGTAATTAGAGCGAAGTACTTTGAAAAATTTAATAAGCTTTTAAAAATCAAATTTATTTTTTTTCCTATGGACAAATCTTGTGATAAGAGATTAACTCCCAAAAGAGAAAATGCTGTCTTCCTTATTCTCCCTACTTTCTGTTTATTCATTTGTTTGTTTGTTTGAGAAGGAGTCTCACTCTTTGTCACCCAGGCTGGAGTGCAATGGTGTGATCTTGGCTCACTGCAACCTCTACCTCCCAGGTTCGAATGATTCTCCTGCCCCAGCCTCCTAAGTAGCTAGGATTACAGGCACCCACCATCACGTTCTGCAAATTTTTTTTGTATTTTTAGTAGAGACAGGGTTTCACCATGCTGGCCAGGCTGGTCTCGAACTCCTGACCTCAAGTGATCCACCAGCCTCAGCCTCCCAAAGTGCTGGGATTATAGGCATGAGCCACCACGCCTGGCTCTTCTCACTACTTTCTCTATCACAGTCAATCCCATTTCCTTCAAGGATCCATTCTTAGAAAATAGGAGAGGAAAAAAAAGGTGGGGGGTGGGGCATGGTTGGAAGATTCTGGGACTTGAGATGCATGTCATGTCCTCTACTTGAAAAGGATTGGGAAAATGTCCCTCTGTCTTTTCACTTCATGTGCCATGGGTAATTTTGGAAGAAGCTACTTCTCTTTTCATGCTCAGAAGACAGAATTCCTCAGTTACTGCCAGCTTAAAGATTAAAATTCTGTGTTTATTTTGAGTTTATATAAGGAAGAGTCCAGGTTAGGGCATAGATTTTAGCATCAAAGTCCTGGTTCAAATTCCTTATGTTCTGCGTAACCTTGTGTGTGACCTCAGACAAGCCATTCAATCCCCTCAATCTGTTTCATCATCTATGAAATGGAGGAGACACTTACGTCTCATACTTGGGTTTCTTCTGAGAATTAAACATAAAGCAGGCAGAACAGTGCTGGACACATCTGGGAGCTATTACTTTTACCATCCCAGGATGACAAGGAGCACACCCACTCCCCTGAGGAGGAAGTGCTGTTGACTACATAGAACTTCTGGACTACATTTTCCAGAATTTCAAAAAGCTATAAGGAAGTACTTCCAACTATGAGAAGTAGTGAAGGGATTTCATCCAGCCTTTTTTATAGGAGTCACATAAATCATAACACAGAATTTCCATTTGTAAAAACTATTTTCATAAAAATCAAAGTAATTTAATCAGAAACACTTAAGATTTATATACAAAATGGTATGTGGAGGGGGTCCAATAAGGACTGGGAGTTCTGTTTTCTGTCTTTCTTACCAGAGAATAAAATGCTGATTGATTCTCATTTTACTGATACTAAAAGTTTTCTTACAGTATATTGTATTGACAAAAGTGCTTAAAACTCATCATCAGCTTGCTTTCTTCCTCCTTGACATAGTTTAATACAATTTGTTCAAGTCACATGCAGAATTTGAGCCCGAAATTCCACACTTAAATCTCACAGCACCGGAAGGAGCCAGAGATAAACCTGAAGTGTTTTCGTGTTATCAATATTCCACTGAAGAGGAAACAGAGTGCAAAGATGGAAAGAAAACATTCATGTGCTTCAGTAATGGTTATTCCTGCTGAAGAGGTGAGATGTATTTCATGCTTCAATGAGTCAGATAAAATTCACCATTCTTAATGGAGACGAACTGGCTGAAAAATATTTGCTTAAACAAACCATGTCCCTTGCATGGTCTTTTGCAGCTTTCTTTTAGATGACATTCCTCTTAGATGCAAAGTTCAGCATCCACATTCAGTCCAATTGTCAGACCTTTATAGAAAGATCATACAACTGCCTGTGGTAAGAGAGAAAACTTGGTATATTCCACATTGACCTGCCACCCTTTCAAGGCTATGTCAATATAAACATATAGAATGCAAAGGCTACACACCTTAGGTAACATGTGTGAGAAAATTGAATTTAATTCTATCAAAGGAATAGAAAAAATTTTATAAGCATGTAATGCGTAAGAGGCATGTGAAGGAGGAGGCTTTACTATCCTAATTTGTATAAGATGGCTTTGAGACATGGAGATGTAACATTGACTATATTTCTGTAACATAAGGGAATGCATGGAATAGAATTAAGTTTTCTCAATCTATAGTCTTGTAATATTCACTCTGTATCATAGACTTTGGAAAGCTCAAGCTCTCATTTTCAGATGCAGCCTAGCATTTTGTAGAGATTAGACCATGATTAATACTATCTTTTACAAAATACAACTTTGGAATATGCATGTAGACATATACACAAAATATCTGTGGTTGTCTCTGAATGGGAAAATATCAAATATGCCAAAAAGAGAACTGAATTTTATTTGCACTCAAGTATCTGATCAGTTGACCTTAACCCTGAACCCTAATTACACTTTTCTTTAAAATTAAGTATGCTCTTCAACAACCAATGGGTCAATAGGAATATTAAAAATTTTCTTAAGACAAAAGAGAATGGAAAAATATCATATCAAAACCTACAGGACACAGCAAAAGCAGTTCTTAGAGGAATATTTATAGCAATAAATGCCTACTTCACAAAATAAAAATTTCTAATTACCTAACAATGCACCTCAACAATCTAGACAAACAAGAACAAACTAAACCCAAAATTGGTAAAAGAAAGGAAATAATAAAGCTCAGAGCAGAAACAAATGAAACAGAGACTTAAAAAATTCAAAAGAATCAACAAAAGAGTTGTTTATTTGAAAAAGTAAACAAAATTGACAAACCTTTAGCTAGACTAAGAGAAAAAAGAAAATACAGGCCGGGCGCAGTGGCTCACACTGGTGATCCCAGCACTTTGGGAGGCCGAGGCGGGCGGATTACGAGATCAGGAGATTGAAACCATCCTGGCTAACACGGTGAAACCCTGTCTCTACTAAAAATACAAAAAAAAAAATTAGCCAGGCATGGTGGCAGGTACCTGTAGCCCCAGCTACTCGGGAGGCTGAGGTATAAGAATGACATGAACCCAGAAGGTGGAGCTTGCAGTGAGCTGAGATCGCCCCACTGCACTCCAGCCCGGGAAACAGAGCAAGACTCCATCACAAAAAAAAAAAAAAAAAAAAAAAAAAAAAAAAAAAAAAAAAAAAAGAGAGAGAGAAAAGAAAATACAAAATCAGATATTAAAAAAGAAACATTACAACTGATACCACAAAAATACAAACATCATAAGAGACTATTATGAATGACTACATGCCAACAAATTTGAGAACATAGAAGAAATAAATAATTTACTGGACACATACAACCGACCAAGATTAAATTATAAAGAAATATAAAATCTGAACAGGCCAATAACAAGTGAGGAAATTGAAACGGCAATACAAAGTCTTCCATCAAAGAAAAGCTCAGGACCTGATGGTTTCAGTGCAAAATTCCACCAAACATTTAAAGAGCAAACATCAATTCTCCTCAAACAGTTCCAGAAAATTGAGGAGGAGGGAGTACTTCTAAACTCATTTTATGAGGCCGGCATTACCCTGTTTCCAAAACCAGACAAGAACACAGCAAAAAAAACTACAGGCCAGTATCTAATGAACATAGATTTAAAAATTCTCAACAAGCTACTAGCAAACCAAATCCAACAGCACACTAAAAACACCATTCACCATGGTCAAGTGGAATTCATCCCAGAGATGCAAGAATGACTTAGCATATGCAAATCAATAAATTCTATAATAATATATCGCATTAACAAAAGGAAAGAAAAACCATATGATCATTTCAGTCAATACAGAAAAAGCACTTGACAAAAGTCAGCATACCTTTATGATATAACTCTCAAAAAGTACTTACAGATAGTATGTATCTCAACACAATAAAGGCCATTTATGACAAATCCACAGCTAACATCATAGCGAACAAGAAGCAAGACAACGATCCCCTCTTTCACCACTCTGTTGAACAAAGTCCTGGAAGTCTTAGCCAGGGCAATTAGACAACAGAAAGAAATAAAAGGCATCCAAACTGGAAAGGAGGAAGTCAAATTGGTTCCTGTTTGTAGAAGTGGCATGACCTTATATATAGAAAGCCCTAAAGACTTCATCAAAAATACTGTTAAAACTAATAAACAAATTCAGTAAAGTTGTAGCATAGAAAGTAAACATGCAAAAATCAATAGCATTTCTAGATGCTAATAATGACCTACCTGAAAAGGAAATCAAGAAAACAATTCAATTCACAATAGCTATGAATAAATACAAATAACATACCTAGGAATAAACTTAACCAAGGAGGTAAAAGATCTCCATGCTGAAAACTATAAAACTTTGAT